ATCGATTTAAAAATAAAAAATAAAAATCACACAAGCATGCTGGCATAAGTTTTTTGCTAGGTTAATTTACCTGCCAACCATTTGGTGATTTTTTTAGGGATTAACAATTTTGATTTTTATTGAAAATACCCTAGCACTGTTTGATTCTATTCCTAATGCATAAAACATTTTATAATAACTAGATATAATGGATTAAAGCAAATAAAAAGGGTATAGATAAAGCATACCTTTTCATTAAACAAAAATTGTGCCTGGGTAGAAGAATTTCCTTCAGATGTTGACATCTTCTCCACTTTGGGGTAGAAGCTTATGAGCTTGGGTAGATTCCCGAGACTCAAATATTCCAACTGACTGAAATTAATTACCTGATTTGAGAGTTCATCTTCATCTTTTTCTTCTTCAATTCCAACTATTGCTTCCATCATCTCACAATCAAATATTCGTAGTCTCTGGAGTCGTGGAAATCCTCTTGCACAGGACAGGGAGAAGAGATATTTCAACCTACAATCTCGAACTGTTAATTCAATTAAATTATTGAAGAACCCTGATGGAGCACCTCTGTCATGCAGCACCTCTTGTAAACCTTCAATTTTTTGCAAATGTAGTTGTTCGGCTCTCATCAACAAAACGATTAACTTGTCCATTAAGGAAACACCCGCAAGTATACACGACTTTGAATAAGTTCTATAAGAATCATAAGTTCCAGAAAAATCAAATTCCTTACCCATTACTATTTTAAATCTGATCAAGTTTTCAAACCAGGAGTCCTTGGGCAATAGCATGACATTTGGTATGTGAATCTGTAAAGTGGTTAATTGTGTCAATTTCCCCAACTCATCAAGATTCACTTTGCTTCTTTCCTCCCTATACCCATGTGTAGACGCGCCCGCGTGAGGGCCTCGCGCTACAGTTCGGACTCGATTTGTGTCACGGTTCTTAATCTGAACCAAAGAGTCCCAAATCTGGCAAATCGTTTTGAGAAAAAATCAATTTTGCTATTTTACTTTTTTTTTTTTTTTTTTTTTTGGATGAAATAAACGAAGTCCCCGACAAAATGAACTTTTCAAATCATCAAAATGAGACCCGTGGTGGGCCTCACGGGCTCAAACGGCACACTCCAATTCAAAATTTGGACTGAAGGAGATCCTCTTCCTTCTCAATAAAGGTTGTTTTTTAGGGGTCCTTACTCCTATTGACAAATATTATATTGCATCTTATCAGGATAGTCGTCGTACTAATGTTTGAACCTTATTCCTTGTATATTTGTTTGGGTTTTTCTTTTATACTTTTGATTTTATTTTATTTTTTTGTATAAATTATATATTATATTTAACTATTATAATTTATTGAGTTTTATTATAATATCAAATATTATTATTAATAATAAAAAGTATTACCATAAACAATTGACCGATCTGGCCTATTCCCACTCTTAGCATGACAATATTTCTTGAATACCCGTGTAGATAATATTATTTTAAAACATTTAGTTGAAAAAATAATAATAATAAATAAATAAATAAAAGTTATAACCAAATGCTACATAAGGTATAACCAAAGATTTTACAAGTCAGAACTAAAATAATGTCATAACTAGAAATCCCATTTATCTCATAAATCATAACTAAAATAATCCTTTTAAAGAGTGTGTATTGTAGAGTTTTCTAACTTAAAAACACATTAATAAATTCCACCTAGAATATTGAAATTAGAAACTTATAGAATCTCTTAAATAAGAGTATATTTTTTGGTGTCTAGGCTTGATGGTAATGTTTGAGTTTGAATCCCATTTACTATTAGATTTTATAATAGAAATATTAGAAAATCACAATTTAAATATTATAATTCATCCAAAATGATGTGGCAAGAAAATTATGTCTTATATGACTAGATTTGTGAAAAATTAAAAATTGACACTTAATAGATCATCCCATTATTGTTGATCAAATTGAAAGAACCTTTTTAAGAGTCTTAAAAGTTTTTTATAGCCTAAACGTTAGAACTTCAGAAATTTTCAAGCTACTGCGTGTATCACAGCTCAGTTGGCATTTTCCATTGATACAATATATGGCTTTGTCTACTATTGAATTTTAATTGTCCAGTTTGATATAATATTTCTCATATTATAATTAATCTTATATCGATTTAAAAATAAAAAATAAAAATCACACAAGCATGCTGGCATAAGTTTTTTGCTAGGTTAATTTACCTGTCAACATAAATTTGAACTAGTTTAGAAAGTCACATTATGGTATATAGTTAGATGGACCAATATTTCTATGTAATGAGTATTTTTAACATTTAAAATAAAAAATTTAGATTACTGCTTTGGGGCTTCATCTAAATTTTACTTCATATAGATTATGGGTAGGGGGCTAGGAGCACATTAGTTTCATTTAGTAGCAAATCTATATGGCTTTGTCTACTGTTGAATTTTAATTGTCTAGTTTGATATAATATTTCTCATATTATAATTAATCTTATATCGATTTAAAAATAAAAAATAAAAATCACACAAGCATGCTAGCATAAGTTTTTTGCTAGGTTAATTTACCTGTCAACATAAATTTGAACTAGTTTAGAAAGTCACATTATGGTATATAGTTACATGGACCAATATTTCTATGTAATGAGTATTTTTAACATTTAAAATAAAAAATTTAGATTACTGCTTTGGGGCTTCATCTAAATTTTACTTCATATAGATTATGGGTAGGGGGCTAGGAGCACATTAGTTTTGTTTAGTAGCAAATCTAAAAGCAAACCAATCCCTAAAACTTCATTTGGAATACTTGGTGACAAAAAAAAAATAAATAAATAAATACATAAATAAATAAATAAATAAATTAAATTAAATTAAATAAATAAATAAATAAATAAATATTTGATTAATTAAATTTGACTTGGAAATGAAATAATAGAAATAATTGATATTTCTCTTCAGTTATAGAGGGAAAGGAGAAAGAGTTTTAGCAATCTAATTTTAGTCCCCAAAATGAAGGGAGAAACATTTAGGGACTAACTTTTGTTAAAAAGTCAGAAAACATACTTTTGTATCAAAATTTAAAAAATGTGATTAATAAAATACACTTTAAAAGAAAACAATTTGGGGCATAAGATATTCACTTTCTTAGATAAATTGTGGTCAAACGATAAAAATAAGTTATCACTAAATATCTAATTTCATCGCTAAACATACAATGACACTTTTAGCAACTTAAATATTTTGTTCTTAAAAATTAAGTTTATTCATAATTTTTTATTTTTAAAATCTTAATTTGTTGTAATTATTTCATGCTTGCCACGGTGTGACCAACCATTTGGTGATTTTTTTAGGGATTAACAATTTTGATTTTTATTGAAAATACCCTAGCACTGTTTGATTCTATTCCTAATGCATAAAACATTTTATAATAACTAGATATAATGGATTAAAGCAAATAAAAAGGGTATAGATAAAGCATACCTTTTCATTAAACAAAAATTGTGCCTGGGTAGAAGAATTTCCTTCAGATGTTGACATCTTCTCCACTTTGGGGAAGAAGCTTATGAGCTTGGGTAGATTCCCGAGACTCAAATATTCCAACTGACTGAAATTAATTACCTGACTTGAGAGTTCATCTTCATCTTTTTCTTCTTCAATTCCAACTATTGCTTCCATCATCTCACAATCAAATATTCGTAGTCTCTGGAGTCGTGGAAATCCTCTTGCACAGGACAGGGAGAAGAGATATTTCAACCTGCAATCTCGAACTGTTAATTCAATTAAATTATTGAAGAACCCTGATGGAGCACCTCTGTCATGCAGCACCTCTTGTAAACCTTCAATTTTTTGCAAATGTAGTTGTTCGGTTCTCATCAACAAAACGATTAACTTGTCCATTAAGGAAACACCCGCAAGTTGACACGACTTTGAATAAGTTCTAAAAGAATCAAAAGTTCCAGAAAAATCAAATTCCTCACCCATTACTATTTTAAATCTGAACAAGTTTTCAAAGCAGAAGTCCTTGGGCAATAGCATGACATTTGGTATGTGAATCTCTAAAGTCTCTAAAGTGGTTAATTGCGTCAATTTCCCCAACTCATCAAGATTCACTTTGCTTCTTTCCTCCCTATACACAAACTCATCTAAAATGTATAATTCTTCCAGGCTAGACAAATTGGATATGACACCTTGTGGAATCTCTGTGAGCTTTTTACAATTTTCCAGATTTAACAACCGAAGACGAGTCAATTGTCCCATCTCTGATGGCAAAACCTCGATATTAGAACCTCGAAGGCTAAGTATTTCAAGATTATTATTTAGATCCTTGAGCATAGCTATGTCTCCCAACTCACAATCTTCTAACCATAACATCCGAAGGTTAACCAAATTAGCAAGAGATAATGGAGGCAACATACAGATTCTATTCAATTCTAAAATTGTAAGTTTCTCCATTCCACTGAAAAACCTATCTGGAACATTAAGCAAAGCATCGCTACGCCAGTCCCATTCCAATACTATGGTCAAGGTGTGGAGTTGTGGACATACCAAATCATCCGGAAGCTCAAGAGTGTTGTCGAACCTTAATGACATTGCTGAGGAAGATTCGCAGGTATCTTTCTCGGGCCACTTTTTGTCACCATGTTTTACTAGAATTTCCTTGCCATCATCTTTCGCAATTGAAAGAGCAACATCTCGAATGACATCATGCATTTTGACAAAGTTTTCATCTTCACCTTCTAATAACAAACAAGCATCTTTGAGGATATCGACCACTGTAAGTACTCGACGGCTTGCTCTTCTTACTGTATTTGTGTTTTGTCCAAGCAAACTTCTTGCTATGCAGTGTCTCGCCAACACTTCAATTGAAATATTAGCATCTTCAGGAAAGAAACAACACAGCAAGAAGCATGATTTTGCATCACTAGATTCTAACCGATCATAGCTTAACTTTAAGGAAGCATACACCTTTGGCTCGATTCCCGCAATATTCTTGAGCATGGAATCTTTGAATTGATCAAGTACATCTTCCCAAGCATATATTTTTCTTATCTTTCAATGCGGCTCCAACTGCAAGTATAGCAACCGGCAAGCCTCCACACTCTTTACAAACTGCATCAGCTATATCATGGAGTTCAGGAGAGTCAACAGAATTTCCCACCTTCGTCTTGAATAGGGCCCATGCTTCTTTCTCTAATAGTACTTGCATTGGAACATAACTATTAACATGCATCTTTTCCAACACACCTCGGATTCGAGACGTTATCACAACTTTGCAACAATTGTTTCCATCAGTGATAGGAATCCCTATTGTCTTCAAGTCCAATTCTTGCCACATATCATCCAATATAATGAGATTTTTCTTCCCATTGTTTAATCTATTCCACAGTTCATTTGCTTTTCCCACTTCAGTTTTCTCTATTAGTTTCAGACCCAAGCGGGCAGCGAGTTGCCCTTGAATATTGCTCACATTTGCGTCCTGAGAGACAACTGCCACCACGACTTCATCAAAAAGTACATTTTTCACTTGTTTGCCAATCTCTTCAACCATTGTCGTCTTACCAGCGCCTCCTGTTCCATATACTCCAATCATTTTAACATTGGAATCTTGTAATGCCGCCATGATGTTCTCGCAAACCGATTTTCGCGACTCAAAATTTGCATAGTTTGCACTTGATGATGGGAATTGAAGTTCTTGAGCAAATGGCTTAGGATGTGCAACTGTGCTAAAATTGCCACTCTGAGTGAGATTTCTTACTTCTTCCATCTTGTTTTCGGCTTCCTTGCTCATACGGTATCGCGAGATGTAATCCGGACATGAGAATTTAAAGCACTGCATGTTTTCGTTAATAGTATTGTCATCCTTAAATTTCTGAAGTCTTTCTTCCACCTCTACTAGCCAGTTTGAAACAGGTTCATCAACTTCTTCGCCACGAGTAATGGCTTCATCAATTTTTTCCTCGATTTGTTTTCTCTTCTCTTCAAGGTTTTTAATTTCAACTTCTAGTTTCTCCTGCTTCTTCTTGTACTGAAAAACAAAACCAGCGTGGAGCACCACTAATTGGATCACTGGCTCAACTATTCTCCCTGTAATTGCCCCTACAATTGAAAATACACCTTGCAGGGCACTCATTTTCAATCCACCTTTTCTCTTTTTTTTTTTCTTTTTTTTTCTTTTTTTTTGAAACAAATATTGAAGAAGAAACTAGTTTGAGATTCGAATTTCAGAGGATAAAGCTTTCTCAATCTGTATCTGCAGGTAAAACAAAAAGAGAGATATCAAAGAAGAGAAATAAAAAGTGAAGATAAAATTCTCTCTTTTGCTGATTAGGAAAATAAAAAATGCGGGAAAAAAAAAATTAACATTAACTAGGTGGAAAGAGTTAATTACCTAAAAGTGCTATTTACAAATGTTATGCTTACTCAAGTCTTATCTAAGATTTTTTAAATCAATAAATTCTATTTAGTAAAATTGAGAATATTGCCAGTTTTTCCCAATTTATAAAACTAACAACATTATCAATTTTATATAGTAATGGAGAAAAAAAAAAAAAAGAATATGGGATTAAATGTTTTTGCCCTTCTACTTATTAGTTTGATTCAACTATCTAAAAGAACCTAGGACATTATCAATTTTTTCATTTAAAATTTTTTTTTTTATTTGCACATCAATGTTCCATCATCATACTTCTTTATAGACACAAAATTTTTAATTTTATTCAAAAAATTAATTTAATTTTTCAATTTTTTCAAAAAAAAAAATTTATTTTTTCTTTTTAATTTATATTTTACCTTTTTTATTCCCTTTCTAAATCCCTCTCTAAATTTATGAATCAAACAGTGTTTATCATACCTTGAGCCGCTCTCTACCAAAAACTTCTTCTTTTTTTTTTTTTTTAAATTCTGAGAATATGATAAACACCAGAGAAACGCTTGAGGAGAGATGGGAAATTATAGATACTACATAAAGCATTCACAAATATTTGTACATTAAGGCCAAGTTTGGCATGTTGAAAAAAAGTTAAAAAGTTACTCAAAAAGTTAAAAAGTTATCACTATTCACCAAAAGTCAAAAAGTATGACTGCACAATTCCCAATCCTAATTTTCCCCTATACACTAATTTATAAAAAAATTTAATACACATTTTTTCATAAAAAGTCAAAAAGTTAACCCAAACATTCATATTTTTTCCCTCAACTTTTTAGTCAAAAAGACAAAAAGTACACTTATTTAGGACACCCCAAACAACCCCTAATAATCATAACAAAATAGAATCCATTTAAGTGTACGAAAAATCAGTGAAAAGACTCTTTTCAAGAATTTGTTTAGCCATAAATATTATGGAAATAAAATGTGATCCAATAAATTCTATATATGTATGAAATTGTATATTAGAAATCCTTTTATAGAAATTAGATGTTTTTTTATGACAATTTTATCCTTATTTTGGTCAACATGCTTACATTTATATATATATATATATATATTTTTTTTGATCGGTGAAAGTCAATTGTTGATTGTTAGATTAATACCTGTGAGAGTTAGCCTCTGCATTCTTTACAAAGTCAAGTGATTGCCTCTTTAATTCAACTCCCTTAAGGAGATTTAAACCTATGACCTCTCCTAGGGACTAAACCCTTAAGAAAGTCATAGTAGCCAACAGGGTTAGGCCTAGTTGATTATCATGCTTATGTGAAAGACTTCTTCTTCTTTTTTTAATGTTTCAAAACTTTAAAATTTTACAACTTTTAAAATGTACATCTGTTTTTTAATATAATTTAGATTTTTTATGAGGCAAAATTTATTTTATCCCCTTGTGATTTAAGGCCAAAGCACTTTACCCTTATAATTCAAAAATAGTCAGAAAGATCTCGTCATATGATTTTGAACTAAAGTGGAACCATTAACATTAGAGATGTAAAATCACTATAATACCCTTTAATATACATAGTTTATAATGTTTAAATATTAATTCAATTAAAACACAATTAATTATATATTAACCATAAATGCTGCGCTCCTGTGCGGGCTAGTGCTGGGTCTAATTACTCCTAGATCTAGTAATTCTTTAATCTGTGTTCTAAATTCTTCTATATCTGCTGGTGTATGATCAATTTGGGCTGAAGTAATTCTATAATCTTTATTTTTTATATCTAGACTAGCTAAGATTTTATTTCTTTCCCAATATTTCATGGGTTGTTCTCCTAAAATTTCTGTTGTTTCAGCTAATCTTATTATTTAATTAACATATTAATCTTTTTGTTGTATTAATTTCATGTTATATTTTCAAAAAACTAAACCCATTTTAAAATATTGTGTGTAATACACCTTCCGTCAATTTGAAAGAAAAAATTAACGACACTTTAATCCTCCAAAATCACTTGGGAATTTTCTAACTATAATTAAATCATAAGAGGTAATGTAACGCCCTCAAAATAATAACATTAAACCCATCAAATAAGACAAGCATTTACATATAAACTAACCACATTCCTTTATTTCATTGAGTTTCATTACATAAGTATTACATGTTAACATCAAAACAAAATGCCCTACGGGCTTACAGCTTTCCAAGTTAACACTTGGTTTCAACAAAAGAGTACTAACTCGTTTACACATTAAGCCCTTGGCTTGAAGTTACATGTAATACATCAAAAGTAAAACAACTACACTATGTCCGCCGCTAGCCTCCCAAGCTATGTCCTTGGAGGTGGCATGCTTCCTGTACCTGAAAATGATATTCCCATATAGGGTGAGCCACAGCCCAGTAAGCTTGTTCAATGCTTTTAATGTG